ACAATCCCACATCGTATACAGTCACATGCTGCTTACCTCCAGTGCGTGTCATGTCATCGTATATAATCACATGCTTGCCAGTCACCTCGCCCACCACTCCTAGCACCTGTTGGCATGGCAAGAAGAGGCACAGCATGACATGGCATGCCATGGAAAGCCATGAAATGGAATGGCACAGCGCAAATTCATATAACACAACAGAATCGACGAAAGGTATGGCAGGGGAGGAGCGTCACAGGAGGTGCAAGCTAGGGTGTGGGAAAAGGAAAGTAGAGTTGTGAGAGAAAGGATGACACACAGATGTCTCCTGCATGTGTATTGACTTCCTCACAAAGGCCTACATCCCCACTGAATTCAACTTGCGCATCCAGCCGTGGGTGAAAAGGGTGTGACGACTAGATAGCGGAGAGAGCAGCGGGAAGTGAAGAGGCGACTCACCGATGTCTCCTGCATGTGCCTCGACTTCCTCACAAACGCCACATCCACATTGAACTTGCGCGCAAAGCTCTCCACCTGATGCGATGGGGTGTGGTGGAGTGGGATGGGATGGGATGGATCACATGCACCCACAGATGCAGAGAAATGCATATTCACACAAATGCATGCACACAGACACGCACACACATGCACGGGCATGAATAGACATGAATAGGCATAAAACCCTTTTCATACCATGGTCACAACTATCCCATATAATGTTCTTTCACACATCACCGTATTCCACCACTCACCAACGCATGCCACCGCATAACATGAACCTAGGCAGGCACGAGCGTCGTCTCAAAGCATGGTCACGATACCATGCTGTGACCACACATGCACCCCATGCTGCCACCCACCCACAGTGGACGTCCGAGATCAGCCGAGGCGAACATGAACGGCTGAGATAGGTCCAGATGCGTCTTGATTCCCTCCAGTAGGGCCTGCTCTGCGTACAGCTCCATTCGGGTCTGTGGGGGAAGGATGCAGTGGGGGTTTGGGTGAGGGGGGAAGGACGCGTTGGGGGTTTGGGGTGATGGGGGAAGGACGCGTTGGGGGTTTGGGGTGAGGGGGGGAGGATGCGGTGGGGGTTTGGGGTGAGGGGGGGAGGATGCGGTGGGGGTTTGGGGTGAGGGGGGGAGGATGCGGTGGGGGTTTGGGGTGAGGGGGGGAGGATGCGGTGGGGGTTTGGGGTGAGGGGGGGAGGATGCGGTGGGGGTTTGGGGTGAGGGGGGGAGGATGCGGTGGGGGTTTGGGGTGAGGGGGGGAGGATGCGGTGGGGGTTTGGGGTGAGGGGGGGAGGATGCGGTGGGGGTTTGGGGTGAGGGGGGGAGGATGCGGTGGGGGTTTGGGGTGAGGGGGGGAGGATGCGGTGGGGGTTTGGGGTGAGGGGGGGAGGATGCGGTGGGGGTTTGGGGTGAGGGGGGGAGGATGCGGTGGGGGTTTGGGGTGAGGGGGGGAGGATGCGGTGGGGGTTTGGGGTGAGGGGGGGAGGATGCGGTGGGGGTTTGGGGTGAGGGGGGGAGGATGCGGTGGGGGTTTGGGGTGAGGGGGGGAGGATGCGGTGGGGGTTTGGGGTGAGGGGGGGAGGATGGGAGTGGATAGGGAACATACGCTTCTACTGTCAGCCTGCTCTGCTTACAGCTCCATGCGAGTCTGATGGTGGGGGAAGGGAGTTGGGGGGGGGGGAAACTGAGGTAAGAGGGTGAAGAGGGAATCAGGGACCCAGTGCAGCAGGACCCAGCGTCGAACACCCAGGCCTGCTCTGTGTACAGCTCCATGCGGGTCTGGCAGTGGGGGGAGGAGCGGATGGTGGGGGTATGGGGAAGGGGGGAGGATAGGATTGGAGAAAGGAAGGGAACGGAAGCTTGTAATGTCAGCCACACTGTAGCAAAGCCTGGTGTGGCTTTTGAGTCGACTCAACAGCCACACTCTAGAAAGGCCTGGTGTGGCTTTTGAGTCGACTCAACCGCCACACTCTAGCAAGGCCTGGTGCGGCGTACAGATCCATACGGATCTGACGGTGTGAGGAAGGCGCACGGAAGGAGAGGGTGGGCGAGAGAGGGGAGGGGAGGGAGGGGAGCGGGCACATGAGATGTCTATGAGGAGAGATGTTGCCTCCTCAGGTAACAGAATCGCAGAAAGGCAGTATCATCTCCTCATGGAGGAGGGGGATGGAACAGAAAATCTATTAGGCGACCAAAAAATCCTCGGAATTCTTTAGGCCCTCAAAACCAGCATCTTCCCCTCATGGGAGATGACAGAAGCAGATGATCAAGGCGGTTTTGAGGAGGATCCTCCTCCAAACCGACTTCCCTTTTGGAGGATCACTCGCAGAGGCAGATGGCAGAGGCAGATGGCAGAGGCAGATGGCAGAGGCAGATGGAAGGCAACAGCATTGCAGGGAGGATGGAGAGAGCAGCAGTGAGAGGCATGAAAAATTCCTCTCACTGTTTGTATAGATTTCACAATCAGACAAGCAGCGAGAGGCACATGGATATTTTTCTTGAAGGCATGATCCTGCAGGGAGGGACCTTCTTGACTCACACACGGCCCTTCAAGGTACTGCAGCAGCGACTGCACGTGCAGGTCCATGAAGAGAAAGATGTTGCCCAGCTTGCTGTTGGGAATGCTGCTGAGAATGCGCGCATTCACCTTGCTGGTTATCACCTCCCCCGGTAGCACCTGCCTCTCCATGGTGCTGGCAGGTGAGGGAGGAGTGAAGTGGAGAGTGGAGAGGAGTGAAGATGAGTGGAGAGGAGTGGGGGGGGGGGTGGGAGGAGTGTGTGGGGGAGTGGGAGGAGTGGGGGGTTGGAGTGGGAGGAGTGGGAGGTGGAGTGGGAGGACTGTGGAGGAAAGGAGAGAGAGAAAGGCATGAGGAGTAGGCATGTTGTGCAAGGCAAGCTGCTTAAAATGCGCGCGTTGACCTTGCCGGTTATCCCCCCCGTGCAAGGCACTGCCCCGACGCAGCAAAGGCACTGCCCAGACGCAGCAAAGGCACTGCCCAGACGCACGAGCTTTGAGACGTCTCAAGGCAGCAAAGGCACCGGCCATAGACACGAGCTCCAGCAGACGCCCCATGTCTGACTGACAGCATGATGCTTGCTAGGTAAGGGTACTGTACATGTAGCTCAGCACCAGAGCAAAACCCCGTGCCTAAGAGTACACTAAACCCTAAAAATACACTCTCGAGTACCCGAGCTTGAGGAATGGAACAAGGCCGTACCCACCTGTATCCGGGGAAGGAATGGAACAAAAACCCGTTCCTGAAACCTGGCCCGCCAGAGCTGCACTGTACCTGTAGCCGAGGAAGGGGATGACGAAGATGCGGCGGCGGCTGCCATACCATACGCAGCAAAGGCGCAACCCAGCCGCACGAGCTCCAGCAGAGCAGACCCCCCAACACCATGATGCAGGAGTAGGGTACATACCTGTAGCCGAGGAAGGGGATGACAAAGATGCGGCGGCGGCTGCCGTAAGCAGCGAAGGCGCAGCCAAGGCGCACGAGCTCCAGCAGGTCGTCGTCTGTGTGTGTGGCCGCCACGAATATCACGTCCTGGCCTACTAACTGGTACTTCTCGTCCATCAGGACGCGCAGGTACTGAGGGTGAGGGCGAGGGAGAGGGGGAAGGGGGTGGATGCAGGGTTGGGAGGGAAACAACGTGCCCCAGCGGCAGGTCGTCGTCCGTCACGTGCGTCGCTGCCAGGTCGTCGTCCGTGTGCGTCGCTGTCAGGTCGTCGTCCGTGTGCGTCGCTGCCATAAGCAGCGAAGGCACAACCAAGCCGCACCAACTCCAGGAAATCGCCGTCCGTCACGTGCGTGGCCGTCACGAACGCGCGTCCATAAGCACGCGAAGGTACTGGTGATGGAGCGAAGGGTCGGGGGTGAGGGTGCGGATGTGAAACACGCCGGCGTCTCGAAAGCGTGAAACATGGACGTGAAACAAGTCGTATTTGATTCGTTAGGCACCTGAGTAAGATTATCACCTTCTCCCCTCCTTTAAACTGCTTCCGGATGACCGTCCCGCGTTCCACGCTAAGCTGCTGCGCGATCAGATCCGCCAGATACGCGCTCGCCTCGCTCGAGTACACCACGTAGTTCGACGCACACGTCGTTCCGTGGTTCATACTCGGGCACATCAGCGCCGTCGTGTTCCTCACGGCGTCGATCGCGGGAGACGCGCTGCCTGCTGCTGCTGCTGTTCCGTTGTTTGCTACCGCGCCGTCCATGCCGGTACTCATGGCTGTCGCTCGAAATCTGGTTGTTGAAATAGAGAGCAGAACGAGGAGGAGAAGCACGAAGTGAAAGGAAGACGATCGATTGGGAATGATTAGAGGATCCTTAAAACTGAACGTTAGCCCTTCAGATTTCTTTGTCGCGGAGGTGTAAAGAGCATCTAGGTTTGAAGGCGTGAGCATCTAAGGCAGTTCGATGGAGGTGGAGGACCCTAGGGCTGAAAAGACATGTGAAAGGCAGATTCAAGGCGCAGCATCGGAAATATCACGAATCCTGCATGCACCACCAGAGAAACCTATCGGACCGAACCATACTCAAATTTGGACCAGATACTGTACCTGCAATGCAGAACTTTTGTTTTGCACCTTCGTGTATGTGATCTCAGCCGTCCATTGGTCCGTTGAAAGTGCGCGAATATGCGGGATGACTACAACTGTTGTTTACTGGTACGCGCTTCAGGACAGCTCAATAAGGAAATATCAAAACTGTACACCTCGCATTTACTGCAATGCTTCGCTCGAGCACATCTCGAGCTCACTTCAAAGTCCCGATTGCGAAATCGGGAGCACCCACCGACCCTCCTGATCTCCCCCACCCACGAACGACCGCACCTCTGGAACTCCAGTTCTTCGCTTCTGTTTCCGCCGCTTCGCTGCCTTCGGTTCGGTCCATCGTTTCACGGGGTCAACAGCACCCATTCATACGACTAGTAACCGCCCTTTCTATCATTTCCGACCTCTCTGGTTACCCTATTTCGCTCGCATCCTTCCTTCGCCGACCAATCATGCAGTACGGCGATGGGCTCGTGGTGGTCGCGATTTCCGCCTTCGCGGCGCTTCTCTGCGAGTTCATCTCGTGGGTATTGATCTACCGCACCGCCAGCTATCGCGCGTTGACGCAGAGCATAGAGAAGACGAGTCGCCGCGTGGAATCCATGAAGGAGCGCCAAGCGGGAGCGGCGGCGGCGGCGGCGGGGAGGAAGAGCGCGTCGCGCAAGATCGGGCGGTTCGAGCAGAGCCTTAAGGACTCGAACCAGGCGCTCAGCCGAGCCAAGTTCCAGGTACGTTGATCTGCAGAGCCAGGCTCTAGATACGGATCACCCGAGCCTGGTTTCAGGTTCGACGACCGGCCATTGGCTGGTAGTCTTTCCCGGTAATTTCCTTCTTCTCAGCTGCCACGTACGTCTCATCTGCCGCCCAGATCCCTCGCTTTGCCCTACAAGTCATCCTCACTCTTTCCTCTCACAACCGCCGAATCTGTTTTTTTTCTTCTTCTTCTTAAAAAAACAGAGCCGCCCAGATCCCCCGCTTTGCCCCATTCCCAAGTCATTCTCGCTCTTTCCTCTCACACCCGCCTCGTCCTTTTTTCTCCCTCCTCCGTTTCCTCCCCTGCCGTCCTCCCACCTGCACTTCGCTCAGTCAGAGCAGTGCGGGCAGGCCCACTCTCGTCGCCCCTTGCTCTTCTCAGCTCTCCCTCCCCTCCCTCCCATCTAGATCCATCCCCTCACCTCCCCGCTCTCACTTAGTCCGGTGTGGTGGTGGCAGCAACGCTGCTCATCGTCTTCGGTTCCCATCCCAACTCTCCCTCCCTCCCATCTGCATCCACCTTCCCATCTGCATCCACCTTCCCATCTGCATCCACCTTCCCATCTGCATCCACCTTCCCATCTGCATCCACCTTCCCATCTGCATCCACCTTCCCATCTGCATCCACCTTCCCATCTGCATCCACCTTCCCATCTGCATCCACCTTCCCATCTGCATCCACCTTCCCATCTGCATCCACCTTCCCATCTGCATCCACCTTCCCATCTGCATCCACCTTCCCATCTGCATCCACCTTCCCATCTGCATCCACCTTCCCATCTGCATCCACCTTCCCATCTGCATCCACCTTCCCATCTGCATCCACCTTCCCATCTGCATCCACCTTCCCATCTGCATCCACCTTCCCATCTGCATCCACCTTCCCATCTGCATCCACCTTCCCATCTGCATCCACCTTCCCATCTGCATCCACCTTCCCATCTGCATCCACCTTCCCATCTGCATCCACCTTCCCATCTGCATCCACCTTCCCATCTGCATCCACCTTCCCATCTGCATCCACCTTCCCATCTGCATCCACCTTCCCATCTGCATCCACCATCCTATCTTCCCAACTCTCCCTCCCTTCCCTCCCATCATGATCCATATCCTCTCTCCCACCGCTCCTCGCTCACCCGCTCCAGTCCAGTCCAGAGCGGTGGTGGCAGCAACGCTACCGAACGTCATCGGGCTGCTCAGCTCTCCCTCCCTCCCATCTGCATCCAACCCCCACCCACTGCCCCATGCTCGCCTGCCCATCCAGTCCGGTGCAGTGGTGGCAGTGACGCTGCTGATCGTCTTCGGGTTGCTCAACTCGCTCTTTGACGGCAAGCCAGTCGCCAAGCTGCCCTTCGTGCCCTTCGCCTTCATTCAGGTCCGCCCCGCTTATTCTCCCCTCCTCCCTTATTGTCATAAACATTACTGTAGCAACTCTCCTAGACCCCTGATTTTTCCACACCTTTCTTTTTTCGTAAACTGATTCATTCACCATGCTCACTGTGATCTTCCTTTTCCCTCTCCTTTCCACACCTATTCGCTCCCTTTTCCTCATCATTGATCTGAAACTCTTTTCACTGATAAGGTTTTCAGAGACGATCCGAAAATCGCTCGATGATACTCCTCTCCTCCACATGCTCTGCTCCCTCACCTCTCGCTCTGCCTACTTACATGCTCCCCGCACCAACCCCTCCCCTCTTCGATGCAACATGGCATTATGGCCTGAGGGGGCACTGCCCTAGTCTTCTTCTTTTACCCTCTTCTCCTTGATATTCCTTTACATTTTCTGCTCCCAGTCGTCTCTACATTCCTTGCTCATCTGCCATCCTTGCTCATCTGTCATCCTTGCTCATCTGCCCTCCTCTACACTTGAGCGCACCCCAGTCCTTGCTCTGCTCTTCGGCCCCATCACCACCCCCTTTCCATAATCCACCCTTTCACGCCCATCAGTTGGAGCATAACATGTTGCGTCTCGACCTGTCAGTCAGGATGCGACTCAACTGACTGCGCCGTGGTGATTCTCTACATGCTCTGCCCGCTCACCCTCACCGTCCTTGCTTCTCTGCCCTCCTCTAAGCTTCAACACTCTCCACTCCTCCCTTCTCCCCGTCCCTCAAACCTCCCTATCCCTCAAACCCCCTTCTCCCCATCCCCCACCTACTCCCCACAGCACAACATGTCGCACCGCGGCCTGCCAGGGAACGACCTCGCCGACTGTCCCGTGGTCTTTCTCTACATGCTCTGCTCCTCAGTACTCCTTTATGCTCCCTTAGCCCATCCCCCACACCCCACCCCCCCTCCTGCTCCCCACTGACAGCACAACATGCTGCATCGGGGCCTGCCAGGGAACGACCTCACCGACTGCTCCATGGTGTTTCTCTACATGCTCTGCTCGCTTAGCACTCACTAAAACTTCCATCGCCCCACCCCCCACCTCCTCACCTTCTCCCTCCTTCCTGCTCCCCACTGACAGCGCAACATGTCGCACCGCAACCTGCCAGGGGACGACCCCACCGACTGTTCCATGGTCTTTCTCTACATGCTCTGCTCGCTCAGCATCCGCCCCAACCTGCAGAAGCTGCTTGGCTTCGCCCCTCCCCGTGGCGCTGCTCCCAACATGTTTGCGGGCCTCGATGCCAAGAACAAGTGACAGCGTGGGGAGCATGTTGCATGTTGCACGTTGCATGTTGCATGTTGCATATTAGCTTCAGGATGGCTCGAGTTGCTTGTCCTGGCTTCAATTCCTGCTGCAACATTACCAAGGCAAGGGCTACACTCTCAATTTATACGCTCAACGTCTTACAGTACTGCACGCTCAATCAATGGCATTCTCATGCACCGTCTTTACCGTACCAGGTAGAGCAAGAGCGTCTACCTCGGGCATGCTGTTCTACCGTACCTACCGATGGGGTTTTTTAGTCGACTCAAAAGCCTACCGTACCTACCGGTACAAATTTCCCCATGAATGAAATAAACGGGGGGTTTTAGAGCTTTCGCTAGACAGTGTTTTGGCGCGTAAAAATCGGGTACCGGTACCGCAAGTGCCTCTGGGTTGTTTCCAAACAGGAGGTTCAGTGTGCATGCATGTAAACGTACATGCTTACAGTGTGCTGTATAGGGTAAGGTTTTAGGGCAACTCTAGCAGCGTCATACAGGATGTTTGTATATCAGCCTAAAGGCTGTTCAACGTCCAACAAGGGTGAACACGAACCAAAGCATGAAGTTGAGCTTGTGTCCACACCACCACACCTCCACCTCTCTACTTCTCTCCCTCCTTGCCCAGCCGTGCCTCCACCTCCTCCACACTCACCCCCTCAAACTCTGCAATCACATCAGCCGCCACGTTCCCCTCCGGCTCCCACGTGTTCTCATCCGAGTCCTGCCACTTAACTAAGTACTCCACCACACCCTCCCCGCCACCCTGTGACGCCCCCACCACCCGCTTCTCCAGAATCTTCTCCGCTACACCATACTCCAAACCCTCCTCGAAATCCTTAACTAAGTCTTCCCCAATGTTCTCCACCGGTTCCCAGCTGTCCTCCGAGTCATCCTGCCACTTAACTAAGTACTCAACGGTGCCGTCCTCCGCTATGCGCTTGTCTAGGATCTGATCCACCTCGGATTCCTCAAACACCGCCTCATCCAGCATCTTCACCACGTTGTCAAGGGCCAGGCGCCGCGCAAACTGACAAGGGGAAGACGAAAAGGGATTGGTTGGGGGTTGGGTGGGTTTGGGATGAGAGGGGTGCATAGGACGCCTCTAACACCGCCTCATCCAGCATCTTCACCACGTTGTCAAGGGCCAGGCGCCGCGCAAACTGACAAGGGGTTGGTTGGGGGTTGGAGGAGAAGGGTTGTTAACAAGCACGTCCTTTCAGTATATCCTCCCCACGTTGTCAAGCGCCAGGCGCCGGGCGAATTGAAAATGGAAAGGGGTTGGTTGGGAGTTGGGTGGGTGGGGTTGAGATGAGAGGGGTTTGTTTGACACATGGCCTCATCCAGCATCTTCACCACGTTGTCAAGGGCCAGGCGCCGCGCAAACTGACAAGGGGTTGGTTGGGGGTTGGAGGAGAAGGGTTGTTAACAAGCACGTCCTTTCAGTATATCCTCACCACGTTGTCAAGCGCCAGGCGCCGGGCGAATTGAAAATAGAAAGGGGTTGGTTGGGAGTTGGGTGGGTGGGGTTGAGATGAGAGGGGTTTGTTTGACACATGGCCTCATCCAGCATCTTCACCACGTTGTCAAGCGCCAGGCGCCGGGCGAACTGACAAGGGGTTGGTTGGGGGTGGGGTGCGGGTGGGGATGGGAGAAGGGTTGTTAAAACGCACAGCCTTTCAGGGCATCCCCACCACAGGCTCGCCTAGTCATCGAGCATCTTCACCACGTTGTCAAGGGCCAGGCACCGAGCGAACTGAGATGGACACAGACAGGGGAGAGGTTCGTTTGACACATGTCTTTCAGGAAGAATCTTCACCGCAGGTTTGCCTCATCGAGCATCTTCACCACGTTATCAAGGGCCAGGCGCCGGGGAAACTGAGATGGACACAGACAGGGGAGAGGTTCGTTTGACACATGTCTTTCAGGGGGAATCTTCACCACAGGTTTGCCTGGTCATCGAGCATCCTCACCACGTTGTCAAGAGGCAGGCACCGGGCGAACTGACAAGGGGACGAAGGAAGGGGTTGCTTGGGGGGTGCATGGGTGGTGGTGCAGCACCGGTTTGTTTGAACAGGACTTTACAGGCCATCTTTCGCACAAGAGAGTGCGCCGAGGAGAGCAAGGAATGGGAGGGTTTCCTTCTAGGCTGGCTATGATGCTCGCGAGGCTGAGTGGAGAAAGGCGCCCAGAGTGTTATGGGCGGGACTCGGGTGAAGGGATTCGAAATTAACAGAAGACATCACCCATCTGCTGCACGGTTGGTGGAGACTGTAAGTTAGTTTGTTAAAAAAAAAAACCACTCGCTGCATTGTTTTCAGTCCAGCAAAAGACTTGCTTGAGACCGTCACAAATGGAAGAAAGAGAAGGAAGAGTAAAAAGGGCAGGGTAATGGGCACTCACTGCACCGGGGTTATTAGCGGGAGTGGCCTTAAGCAGCTGCTCCGCGAGAATGAGGGGCGAGCGCTGCTGCTTGTCCTCCTGCTCGGGGTCCGCCCCGTGGTCCAGCAGCGCGCGCACTATTGTGGAGTGCACGTAGCTGAAAGGGGGAGGGGGGGGGGGGGGAAGAGAGGTGAGTGGGGGAGGAGATATAGGTTTCAGGTTTGGGCTAGACGGAAGAAAGCGGGGTGGCCTGGTAGGTACGAATTCGACTTACATCCAGGGTCCTGGGGCAATAGAAGGAAAACGGAGCTGTCGCCTATTGAACAACGGAGGAGAATCGTTGGCTTCTTACGTTTTGTGTTCAGTTGGTGTTTAGAGGTGCCAGTGTTCAGGTTGGTCTCCGTCTGTAGTCGTTGAATAGGAGAGGCTGGTCGCCCGTTCACCTAATCCACTTATTGTCGCATACGTTTTCGTTCCTTTTACGCGTCCCATAGCGACGTGCAGAAGCACTCACATCACATCTAATTTTCGTCCGCATTCTCCCCCAGCCGAACGCAAAGTAACTCCTCGCTTTTCTCTGCTCTCCCCTCCGCAGCGACTCACCCCGCAGCTATATGCAGCGCGCTGTAGCCCTCCTTGTCCTGCCACGCCACGTCAGCTCCCTCCTCCAGTAGTTTGCGAACCAGCTGACGTGGCCCAAGAAGTTGGGGGTTGATGGCACGAGGGAATAAACACGGACGTAAAAATAGGATAAAAAACGAATACTATAAGCACGGATTTCCGTCTCCAATCGCAGTAACCGAGTCGAAAAGCGAGGAAATTGCACGCATTATACGAGATTTGGCTCCAAGCTGGCTCACGTTCAATGTATGCTCTCACGGCGCTAGCCTCGGCCAACCCATTCCACAGCAAACGAAAACGAGTGGAAAGGCAGAGTCACTTTCTCATTCACAGCCCCGCCGCAAACAGCAGCGAAGAGCGGCCATCCCATGGACGGCATTCAACCCTTATCATTTCCGCACTCACTTCTCACACCCCCACTCACCCTCCCACTTCCGATCTCACCCTCCCACTCCCGCACCCACCCTCCCACTCCCGCATTCATCTTTCCACTCCCGCATTCGCCTTCGCATTCGCGCACTCACCATTTCATCCCCACACTCATCCCTTCTCATCATCGCTCTCACCTTCTCATTCCCAAGCCCCGCGGCGAACAGCAGCCCTGACCGCCCATTCCCATCGATGGCGTTCACGTCGCGCCCCTCCGCCAGCAGCTCCTCGATCTTCGCGTCGTCGCCGCGCCGCACCGCAGTCCACCACGGCTCCTCGAACTGCGCCACGAGGTCCGCCGCGACGTTCTCGCGCGGCTCCCAGCTGTCGGGGTGGTCATCCTTCCACTCGATCAGGTACTGCGTCACGCCGTCCTCCGCCACGCGGCTTCCCAAAATCTTCTCGACCTCGCCGACGTCTTCGTCGATTACTTCCGGCACGTCCTCGAACGCGGGTTTCTTGGCGTCTGACGTGGCTTCTTGTTGTTGCTTCTGCTCGGCTTCTGACGTGGATGTCGAGCCGGACGACGTGGCAAAGGCGGTGAACCGTCTCTCACGGGAAATGGTGTCTTTATGAAAGGCGGAGAGAGAGGTAAACCCGTAGGATCTTCTGAATCCGCAGCTGTTAGAAGTGCCCTGCTTCTCCAGTTTGATCGCATTTCTCTGAAGCGACACATGGCAAGGCGCTGTTGCTGCAGCTTGGAGGACTCTGACAGCGGCGGTCGCCATGATTTGAAAGGATCAATCAGCAGCCAAGAGGTACGTTCGGAGCTGGACAAGCAGCAAAGAACTCAATAGCCGTGGAAAAATTGACGAGGAAAAACTGAAGCAAGAGGGAGCCAACAATGAAACACTGATGCAAAAAACAAAATCGTTGTGAGCAAATTGATGGAGGAAAAACTGAAGCAAACAGACTGAACCGATGAAATTTAGAAAGTAAGGAACCAGGTGCTCTGCCAGCGTGGAGGCAAGCTGGATTCGCGCAGCTCGTGGAGTTCAAAGCGCAATCTTCACGCCAGTCACGACAAGCCAGCTGGCGGGAACCCAGAAAACTTCCAAATTCTACAAGATTGCAGTGAGGTCAGAAAGTAGCGTGTCAGGAAACACTAAACGGTGATATTGCAAATTACAAACAACAGATGTTAAAGATTGAAAGCAGTCACAGAAAAGGCTGGATAAAGGTACCGTACTAGACTATTATCATGCTACAGTGGAAAAACCACACTGCACACGAAATTACTGGAAGCAAGTCAATTGAAACTTAGCAAGAATCAGCATTACAGCTATATAGGTACCATACCAGTCCAGAATGCTGCTGGATAACGTAGACTACCTAAAATAGAACGAACCGTCTGAGGTCCTGCTTTGAGAAGGAAAAAGAATGACACGCTGACTTGACTCCTACACCGTCGCCATTGCCAACCAAGGATGAGGCGGTGCAGTGCAATGCAACCCTAACCTAACCTATCGACAGACTCATTCCCCCTTGCCAACTGCACATGATGCATCATCTGCTAGTGCCCACTGGCCAGTCTGCATCTCTGTGTCGGCTCGGCAGCACCACCTCATTTATGCCTTCCCCTTCCCTGCACCACCTGCACTACACACATACACAGTCACTGCTCCCACACATCCTTGCACACAGACGCCACACCACCCTCTCATGACTGCAGCCACACTCTATCCCGGAGCCTCTGCGGACCTGCACCATAGAACTCGTCCACTTTACTGCCCTCACGGAAAAAGCGGAAGGTGGGGGTGTAGCGAACGTCCTCCGCCATCTGAGTGCATTTATCCACATCAGCATACACAAAGATGGGCCGTGAGTACTCGTTGCTCAGGTTGAAAAAGGTGGGAAGCATCTTGCTGCACGCATGGCACCTGCACAGGGATGCATGGCGATGGTATGGTGGTATCAGAAAGGAAGGGAAAGGTGAATAGGGGGATGGTGAAATGCCTTGGACTGAGAGTTGTGAAGAGAACAAAATTTGAACAATTCCTCAAACATGCAGAACATACAATTAGTGTGGTTGCGGACCATATCAAACAATGCACCACGGACCTAACCATGCATGCCATGCCGACTGCATGACAGCATAAAGAAGCAGAAACTCACCAGCTGGCGCCATACGTCACAACAACCTGTGATAAAAAGCAGGATGGGTTTTCAAACGGAGGGAGGGCGGAAGGGGGTGAGTTCGTATCTGGGAATTGGAAACGGCGACTTGAAATTGGCCACGCAGGAAAAAATAAAGCAGAATCAGGAGGCATCGCAGGAAGTAAAGGGTACCGGCCGCGTTATCCGACGACGTCGTCCGAGTGGCAGGTCTACTTAGAAACGGTCATGCCAAGCCGCAGCTCGCACTGTTTTGGAAAACCGAAACCTAGTGTGTACAGTCGTGAGGCCCACTAATTCCTTCGCTTTAGCAGACAAAATCGCATTTCGTCAAGTAACGGTCACGACTACTCGCTCGTCGGTTATTCTAAAGGACTACTTGTTTGGGCAAAAGTCAACTCACTGGCCGTTTGGTCTTCTTCGCTTCGACCAGCACCTGCGACAGCTCCGAGTCGGACTTCGCCTCGAGCAGGTTATTGTTGCGATTGAACGGCACGGATCGCGGCTTTGCGGCTGCGCCAGCCGCATCCTTACGGACGCTGAACTCGCCAGCTGGACCCTCGGGATCACCGGTCGACATTATGCGATCCGATAAGGAGCCCTAACTTCGAAGATGTCACTCAGGCTGGAATTTAAAAGCGTAAAAATTGGCTGCGGTCTTCTGACAAAGAAAGACGAGCCTCTATGCACGGGTTCTACGGAAGGGCTGGAGTCCTACCGCGGTTAAACGGCGAATGCCTAAAGCTGACTTGGCATGAAAAATATGCCTAACGTGCTAGGACACAACCTGAAAGCACCAGAAAGACTCGCGAATGGTCTGACCGAAGTGAAGTTAGTAATGTCTCATCAAAATCTTGAGTTTCGCAGGCTTTCAAGCATTGTGATGAAAGACGTCGCACATGGTCGCAACGCGACCTCGAAGGGTTTGGCGCGTGTTTCCTGCTGTGAAATGATGCCATCAAGTCGTCCGGAAAATTGCAGACGACGGAGGGGCCAGGGCGGGGTCAGCTGGACAGGGAAAAGCTCTTGTTCCAAACCATTGGCTGTGCGACGAGCTTCTGACAAGTTGTTACGGGTGCAATGGAACGAGCGAGCGAAGATTGCACTGAGGGCGGGTCCAACTTTGCAAATGTACGATTAAATTTCAGCACTGTTACCACATTTCGGGGGTAACAGAACTAAAAACGTACCAGAATCCATTTGACGCGAGACTGTACATGTATGATGACATTACGGAAACGTGCCCGGGGATGTGCAGAACACGTCCGAAGGTTCACGTCAAACTCGTTTCGCGTCAAACATGCCAAAAGGTAACACCCTTTTTCGCTAATTTGACTTCGCCAATGAACCCCCTCCGTCACAGGTGCGAAAAAACTCGCTTTATTGGGTAACCCCTCATTCCAGGTACTGTACCCCGCAGCGTTACTGTACCTTGTCAAAAGTCCGAATTGTGCAATCGGAACTGGACAGGAAATGTTTGGAGTTTGCCCTGGGGTACAGTCAAGTTTGACTAGTGCATTGACGTTAAAATAACGGAAAAAATGAGAGTGTGCAAAGTTGGACCCGCCCTGAGGGCACGTCCCCTCCCACGATCGATCGCGAGATCGCCGTGAAAAACCGATCGTTCACATCGATTGCAGGATTGGGGTGGGATTGGTCGGAGGTGTAGTCGGGGATCGATCCCGAGCCCAAGGTGACAGGATCGAAAATACAAGGGGGAAAAACTCTCGATCCTACAAAAGCCGAGATCTGTGTGGCCGCGAAGGCACATCGATCGTCAACAGCGGAGGTGACAAGATCGTTGGGCACCAGTTTCTGCACGTTCGCAAGCCATCTCGAACTCAGGTTAACTTGTCAATTGCCAGACAGTAGTGTCCCTCGATCGATCGAGGGCAGGATCGATCGAAGGAGGGGACGCGCCCTAAAGAGTCAAACTAAGCAAGTGTCACTGGGGGAGAGGAGAGGGGACAGCAGCAACAATAGCTACAGCAGCAACGGCAGCAGCAGCAACAGCAAGGCCAGCAGGGGCAGCAACAGCAGGTTTGTAGGGGAGAGTAGAGAGGGCCACAGTGGCAGCACCAAGGTCAGCAGGGTCAACAGGGGCGGTAGCAGGAGGGTCAGCATGGGCAGCAACAGGAGGATCAGCTAGGGCAGCGGCGTGAGGATCAGCAGGGGCAGGCTGGCTGGAAGGAGGAGAGGAGACAGCAACAGCAGCGATTACAGCAGGTGGGCCAGCAGGGGCAGGAGGGGCGGGCTAGTAGGGGAGAGGAGAGAGGACAGCAAGGGCAGCAGCAAGAGGGTCAGCAGGGGCAGCAGCAGGAGGGTCAACAGGGGCAACAGCAGAAGGGTCAGTAGGGGCAGGCTACTAGGGAAGAGGAGAGGGGACAGCGGCGGCAGCAGCAGCAGCATGGCCAGCAAAGGTAGGAGGGGCAGGTTGGTGGGGGAGAGGGGAGAGGACAGCACAGCCAGCAACAAGAGGTTCAGCAGGGGCAGGAGAGGCCGGCGAGTGGGGTAGAGGAGAGGGGACGGCAGGGGCAGCAGCGAGAGGGCCAGCAAGGACAGGGTATGGAGGGGGGGGATAGGGCGAGGGTGCGGGGGGTTTTGGGGTTGGGAAGAGGGGATGGTAGGAGGCAGGTGGGTGGGGGAGAGGATAGAGGGGCAAAAACGACAAGGGAGGAGGCACAGAGGGACCAGGCACAGCAGCAGCCAGTACAGCAGCAAAGGCAGGCTGGACGCACAGGCCGCATAGGGACACCAGCCCGCATCCCAGACCTGACTTGCCGCGATATTGGAAAAACTTTGATGGTGTTAGTAGACGTCTCCATTGCAGATCCACAGCAACAGGGGAGTACCGGGCTTAGACGAGTGGCTCCAGTGCAGATGGGTGTTGCAGCAACTAGACGAGTACAGGACAAGTTGCGGGATTGGGCACCGCATCTAGAGGGATTACAACCGCCGCCACATTTTTATGGATATGTAGTGGAGACGTTCGGGTTGCTCAACGAGCCAATGAGGCAGTTTCTGTCAAGTTTATATGCTATGGTCTATTTAGGCTGTAGTGGGGTAGATACTATAGGGTACAACATTTCTAGGTTTTCTACTTGTACTCACATTTCACCTAGTCATTCATTCCTCGCATGGTATAGAGCAGGTTCCCTAGTGGGAACGTTTCCTAGGGCCCACCACGAAAATGGATTTTTTTTTTTCCTGCCCGGAGCGCGCTTCGCTCCTGCTCGAGTCGCGCCCCGTGTACCTGCCCTCCCGTCGCGTCCCCTGCCCTTAGCGGCCCGTCGCGCCCTCTTACGGCCCTGTAGCGGCCCCTCTCACGGCCCCTCGCGGCCCCTTCGCGGCTCCCTCGCGGCCCCTCCGCGGCCCTTCGCGGCCCCTCTCACGGCCCTTCGCGGCCCCTTCGCGGCCCCTCGCGGCCCCTTCTCGGCCCCGTCGCCGCCCTTCGCGGCCCCACGCGGCCCCTTCTCGGCCCCGTCGCCGCCCTTAGCGGCCCCTCACGGCCCATTCTCGGCCCCGTCGCCGCCCTTCGCGGCCCCTCACGGCCCCTTCTCGGCCCCGTCGCCGCCCTTCGCGGCCCCTTCACGGCCCTTCGTGGCCCCTTCGCCGCCCTTAGCGGCCCCTTCTCGGCTCCTCCGCGGCCCCTTCTCAGCTCCTTCACGGCCCTGCCGCCCCGCCGTCGCCGCCCCAGCAGCAGCAGCCGTCGCGCCGTACCAGCCGCCGCCACCACTGCCGGGGCCGCCGCCGCCGCCGCTGCCGACAGCAGGAGCCGCCACCGCCGCTGCCGTGACAGCCGCCGCCGCCGCTGCCGTGACAGCCGCCGCCGCCGCTGCCGTGACAGCCGCCGCCGCCGCTGCCGGGGCCGCAGCCGCAGCCGCCGCCGCCGCCGCTGCCCGGGCCGCAGCCGCCGCCGCCGCCGCCGACAGCAGGAGCCGCCGCCGCAGTCGCGGCCCTGTCCCTGCCGGCGCGTCTCGGCCCTGCCCCACCACTTGCGGACCTCTACCCACCCGCCCTGGTAAGAGCACCGCCGAGCCACGCCTCTGCTGCTGAGCTGCTCCTAGCCTGCTGCTACTGCTGCTAGCCTGCTGCTGCTGCTGTCATGGCTACCCATAGCGTTCTCACATTTGATGGTGAGGGTCGACTGTCGACTTTGAGGTCTGGGTCGATCATCTGCAGCTTTTCCTGCAGTGCGATAGGAAAGACGGTCTCTCACTGTTCGATCTCACGTCTGGCGCCTCTACTGCCCCTGCTGCCGATGCTGACAGCACTGTTCGGTCACAGTGGGCCACACGCGATGCTGCTGCCCGTCTTGCTGTGCGTAGTCACTTGCCGTCCACTGAGCGCGCGCACTTTAGTCAGTACAAGAGTGCTAAGACCTTGTACGACGCTGTAGTTGCACGCTACTCTTCCCCTGCCACTGCTGCCCTTAGCCGCCTCATGCTGCCGTACCTGTTCCCTGACCTCGCCGCCTTTCCCACAGTCGCTGACCTCATTACGCACCTTCGCACTAGTGACACCCGCTACCGCGCTGCGCTTCCTGCTGAGTTCTGCGCCAAGAACCCCCCCCCCATGTACATCACCCTGTACTACATAGTCACCCGGCTCCCTGACTCCCTTCGCTCGATCAGGGACCACTTCCTCTCTGTTTGCCCCACCACACTCACCGTTGACCTCCTCGAGGAGCGCCTCCTGGCAGCTGAGAAGAGTATAGTCGCTGTAGAAGCCTCTTGTGGTGACCCTCGTTCCCCCTTCTTTGAGGGGTGCTCCCCCTCCCCCCTTTTGCCCTCTGTTGCCTCTGCTGCTGCCGTCGACTTCGTTGGCACCGAGTCAGTCGGCGCTGCGTCTGCCCCTAGCGGGAGACGCCGCACAGGCAAGGGCAAGGGGGGCAAGGGCGCTGGAGGAGCTGGCGGGGGCGGTGGAGGTGGCGGTGGAGGCGGCGGAGGGGGTGGGGGTGGCGGTGGGAGTGGTGGCGGGGGTGGGGGCTTCGGTGGCGGCGGTGGAGGCGGAGGCGGCGGCGGCGGTGGCAGTGGGAGCGGAGGAGGCGGAGGAGGCGGCGCTGGCGGCGGTGGCGGAGGTGGCGGCAGCGGCGGTGGAGCTGGTCGGGGTGGCTCTGCGCAGCGGGGCGGCTTCGGTGGCGGTTAGCACTAGCAGCAGCAGCGCACTCGTGAGACCCCGCCCCCCCAGCAGCTTCGTGAGTGGTACGCTGCGCGTCAGCGGGGTGGGGGTGCTGGTCCCTGTGCCTACGTCCTGCGTACCGGCGACCGCACTGGTGAGCCGTGCGGTGGCCCACACACCACCCAGCGCTGCTTCGGCCGCCTGACGGACGCTTGGCGTCTCCAGTTCCGTGACGCCACTGAGATCCCCCGCTGGGGCGAGCTGCTTAGGTCGGGGGTTGCTATCTTTGATCTGGATTATGATGCTATTCTTGCTGCCATGTATGTTGTGTCTACTAGTGATGAGGGTGACTGTTACCTGTGTGTTCCGCCTGACCCGGGCATTGAGGCTGCTGCTCTAGGTGCAGGTGAGGCTGTTGCTCTAGGTGCTAGTGCGTCTGATGCCCCAGGTGCTGGTGAG